GCATCGCTTAGTCCGCTGCACCACAGTGCTGGCCCCTAAAGTCTTTAGAAGCCTTTTTTATGCATGTGTTTTTTGCTGTAAGCTGTTCTGCTTATAGAAGGAATGAATAAATGGAGGCTGAATTGAATGGGAAAAGGTGGATTGCAAATGATACGTAAATAACTCAAATGAAACATCGAGCTTGAACGAAGCCTGCCTTTCTCGTCTGCGGCCCCTGCCACGGTGTGGAGCCCTGGCTTGGCGTGGTGAGTTTGACTTGGAAGTTCGGTGGTGACTTCCCCATCACACCTGTCACTCTTCCACGTCAAATCACCAGCCCTGGTGTTTCCTGCCTCAGGCGAAGAGGCCGTGCTCATGCGGTTCCCTCTGCCCGCACCGTTCCTGATGTAGATCCCAGCCCCTGTCCTTGCTCTGCTTGTCCATCTCACCCTTCCAGTGCCGTGTGGGGAGAGGCCACCCCTGACTGCCGTCTACCAGGGCGGGGGGTGGCTGGGCTTCTGAGACATCTCCCCATGTTTGCTCACCCCTCTCCTGCACGCTGCTGCTCCCTCTAAGAGCTGGGCTATAGGTCCGATCCCCCCCACCCTCCCCTGCCCCTGGACTGGGCTGGGCCTTGGGACTGGCCGAGGCCACCAGAGGTGGCACAGGGGACTTGCTGGTCCAGCTGGCGTGCTTTGAGGGGCCCATGTCACACACACAGGCCACAGTGGGGAGAAACCAGGCACGCAGGTATTCTCTCAAGCCGAGCACCCCGCAGACCATCAGCAAGGGCTCCACTCAGGAACGTGAGCCGATGTGGTTGTCCCTGACCCATGGAGGCCCCGTGGGAGCACACCTGCCATGGGCACAGACCAGCCACCTGCTGGGCTCACAGAACGGACTGTGTGGAAGATGAGCTTTAGAAAAACAGAAGAGAGGTCAACTCCTGAGAGAGAGAGAGAGAGAGAGAGAGAGAGAGAGAGAGAGAGAAGGCAGACATGGACAGGTCTGCTGGTTCACTCCCCAAATTGCTGCACCAGCTGGAACTGGGCCAGGCCAAAGACTCATTCCCAGTCGTCCACGTGAGTGGCAGGGATGCAACCAGTGGAGCCATCACTGCTGCCTCCCACCGTCTACACTGCAAGACTCCGGAACTGGGATTGGAGCCGGGACTTGAACGCAGGCACTCCCGTGTGGGCTGCAGGCATCCCAAGCAGTGGCTCAGCCACTGTGCCAAGCGCCCACTGGCCTGGTATTATTTCATTCACTGCCCCGCTGCATTTCTTTCATAGCATCCATGACCATCTGTAATTATATAATTATTTAATTCTTGCTAATTTCCCCGTTTCCCTCTGAGCGAGAGCTACAGGAGGCAGGATCCATGTCTCTGTCGGTTGCAGCTGCTCCCAGCATGGAGCTGGGTGTCTGAGTGAGTGGCATCTGCAGGTCCCCAGGGGCCAGTACGCATGTCCGTGGTGGGAGGCCAGGCTGGAGCAGTGTCAGGCGCGAGGTGGGCACGGCGAGCCTCAGCTCTCAGGGCGTCTAGGCTCAGACCTGGGCGCTGCCCCCGTCACTGCCCCCCGTTCCCGGACCTCCACACCCCTGCCATGGAGAATCGCCCTGGCCCGTCCCACTGCCCTTCTGTCTGGGCTGCCCTCCCCTCAGGCACCTGGCAGGTCTCTGTGGGGCAGGAGTGGGTAGTGGGTGTGAATGGAGGCCTGCACGTGGAGACCCCTGCCATGATCCCCGGTTTTGCTGCCTTCCACATACGCATTGGTGGGGAGCTGTAGCAGCCGCAGGTGCATCACACAGGGAGTGTGTGCTCAGCATCACCGCATCGGGGGCGGTTAGCCTCTCCTGTAAGATTTATTTATTTAGGTGCCGGCGCTATGGTGTAGAGGGTAAACCCGCTGCCTACAGTCCAGGATTCCATACGGGTGCCGGTTTGAGTCCTGGCTGCTCCACTTCCAATCCAGCTCTCAGCCATGGCCTGGGAAAACAGTAGAAGATGGTCCAAGTGCTTGGGCTCCTGCACCTGCATGGGAGGCTGGGAAGAAACTCCTGGCTCCTGGCTTCGGATTGGCCCAGCTCCAACTGTTGCCCCCATTGGGGGGTGAACCAACCGATAGATGACCTTTCCCTCCATTTCTCCCTCTCTCTGTCTGTACCTCTGCCTCTCAAATCTTTAAAAGACAGATTTATTTATTTATTTGAGAGGCAGAGTTACAGAGAGAGAGTGAGACTGAGAGACAGACAGACATTTTCCACCAGCTGGTTCATTCTCCAAATGGCTCCAGTGCCCAGGGGCTAGGCCAGGAGCCTGGAACTCCCTTTGGTCTCCCGTGTGGGTACAGGGGCCCAAGCTCTTGGGCCATTTTCCACTGCTTTCCCAGACCATTAGCAGGGAGCTGAATTGGAAGTGGAGCGGCCAGGACTCGAACCCATATGGGATGCTGGCCCTGCCCATGGGACTCACAGTGGGGACTTTGATCCATGCTGGCTGGTGGCAGGGCCAGTGGACCCAGCAAAGCTCCCGTGGCCTGGGAGAAGTCTCTGCCAGCCACAGAAGGCCGGCCCCTTCCAGAGCTGGAGCCCTCACGGGGCAGGCGTGGGGTGGCCACCAGCCAGCTTTCCCAGTCATCATGGTCATGGTCATTGTGGCCTCAGCAGACAAGTCCGGGGGCTCACGGAGACAGAGGCTGGCCCTCCGTAGCAGGTGCTCTGAGTGGTCTGGGGAGTCAGGTGAGGTTGGCAGGCCTGGAGAGGGCCGCAGGAGGAAGCTCTACACCAGGAGCACGTGTGGAGAGGGAGAAGGGGGCAGGTGGCAGGGGATGCTGAGGGCTCAGGGCGAGCATGCCTGCCTGGAGCCAGTCGCTGGGCAAGTCTAGGTGCTCTGCAGGCCCTCTCTGACCCCCAGCCCTGGTCTTCCTCCAGGCAGGGTCCTGCACTCTGCACCCCTTAATCTGACCCTCTGGGTGTCAGCCCTGAGTGTTCAAATCCATGTGCAAAGCTGGAGACAGGGGACGCCTGGGCTTTAGGGGACCCTGTTCTGCCGGGCTCAGACCGTGCCCCTCCCCCATACAAGAGGAGGCCCCAGGGCAAGGGGATGGGCTCGACGTGAGCCCCTTGCCCTTCTAGACTTCTCTCTGGGGCTTGCTCCACCCAGAGGGTCTCTGAGCCTGTTTCCAGGACTGGCCAGCACCCAGCGGCCTTCGGGGTAGACGGGCCCCAGGGAGTGGCCAGGGAATGGCTACTGTGTTTCATTTTGGGGAACTGGGATGTGGGGAGTGGTGTGGGCAGTGGGCCAGGAGCTGGGGGTGGGGTGGGGGTTGTGAATGCTCAGACAGGCTGTCAGGGTGGAAGGATGGGTGGGACTTTTCCACTTGTTGGTTTGACGTGTGGCTGCTAGATCCTCCATTTGTGCTGGTGCCCTGGGCCTGGCCAGGTGTGGAGACAGTCTGGAGAGAGGGTGGCCTGGGCTCGGGGGGCAGGGCGCTGGGGCTGAACTTGGGCGGAGTTCCTTGCCACTTTGGGGTAGGTTGGGGGGTCTGGGGCAGGGATGACCCCTGTTGGGTCTGTGTGTGGCGCGGCTCTGCCCTGCAGGCCCGGTCTGCACACCCCTGCCTCCCGGAGCTCCTGAGGTCACGGGCACTCGTGGTCCCCACTGCTGTGCCACCAGGGCTGTTTCTAAGGTGACTTGGAGGCCCCCTTGGTTCGCTCTCCGGTGTCCGAAGGAAGACACGAAAGGCGCCAGGCTGGTGAATCCCAGCTGTCTGGGCGCAGGAGACAGCCCAGCTGTCAGGAGGGCGGAAGGAAGCACACTCCTCTCTCCAGGGCCCCGGGCCCGAGCGCGACCCGGAAGCCAGCTGGGGCCGGCTTCCCTCTTCCTCTTTCCTCATTTGTCCTGCACCTGTGGTGCCTTTAGCCCTTCAGGCTGTCCACTCCCGTGGGGGAAAACTGAAACCCTGGCTGTGCTTGGGATGCTGAGTGGGGCTGGTTTATTCTTGTAAAAGTCTTTCTACCTTCTCTCGGAGTTACCAATCTGTAAGTTTTGTTTATTTGTTGTTACCTGAGCAGACGTGGGAGGAGGGAGAGAGAGACAGAGATGGCAAGAGCTGTTCCATCTGCTCATTCACTACCCAAATACCGGCACCAGCCAGGGCTGGGCTGGGCAGGGCCAGGCCAAAGCCAGGAGCATGAAACTCAGTCTAGGTCTAGGGGCCGGTGCTGTGGCGCAATGGGTAAAGTCGCCGCCTGCAGGGCCAGCATCCCATATGGGCGCCGGTTGGAGTCCCAGCTGCTCCACTTCTGATCCAGCTCCCTGCTAATGCTCCTGGGAAAGCAGCAGAAGACGGCCCGAGTGCTTGGGCTCCTGCACCCGCGTGGGAGACTGGCCTGCTAAGCCCCACCCTTTGCAGCCATTTGGGGAGTGAACCAGTGGATGGAAGCCCTCCACCCATCTCTTCCTCTCTGTCTCTGTAACCTGTCTTTCAAATAAATAATTTTTTTTTTTTTAATCCAGGTCTCCCCTGTGGGTGGCAGGGAGCCAAGCACTTGAGCCATCGCGGCCGCCTCCCAAGGCGCCCAACAGCAGGCAGCTGTGTTGGAAGTGGAGTAGCCGGAGTTCAAGCCAGGCACTCTACCGATATGGGATGCGGCTCAGCCACCGTCCCAACACTCGCCCCACACGGCTGGTTTACTCTAAAAGATGAAACTCCAAGGATGCCTTGCTCTGTCTCCAGGTGTCCCGGGGACTCCCGCGTGGGAACGGGAGGAGCTCACTCAGCATTGCTGGAGCGCGAAGGAAGTGTGCTCTCAGCTTCCGGGTGCAGAGGGGCTCCGCCCGCACCTTCTCAGGGGTGAGCCCCCCGTCACTGGCAGCATGCAAGTGTCAGTGGCCTGCAGAGTGGGGACCCTCTACAGTGTGCCCCCCAGCTTCACAGTCCCTAACCCCACGACTGTGACTGTGGTGTCCTTGTACCCAGAATGCCCAACGTTGGCGAAGCGATGAAAGAAATCCACGGACAGGAGGACCGAGCTATAAAAAAAATCTTTATTTCATGTACCAGGATTTTTTTTTTTTTTAGTTTTCTGCTTTTTAAAATTTTTTCTGTTAACAGTCTGAAAAAAAAAAAAAGGACCCACCAAGAAAATAAAATGGAGGTTTGTTTCTTGAACTGGTTTGAGCTGGACACGAGCAGTCGTCCACTCAGGAAGCAGGGCCCTTGCCGCCCGGGTCCCAGCTCTTTCCCTCCAGGGCCCCAGCCCTTTCTCGGCCATGCTGGTGCCCCCCGCCCCACCCCACCCAGATGGCCTGCTTCCTGGCAGCCTGAAAGGAAACCCAAGTGGCAGCCCAGAGGCCCTGGCAGAGCTCAGACCTGGGGCCAGTTTTTTGTCTTCGCGCTATGCCTGCCCGCTGGCCGCTTCCTTGTGGCCTCTCCCTCCTCTCTAGTCCCCGATCCGTCCAGCTCTGGAGTCTGGCTCGGGCGTGGGAGGGAAAGTCCGCCTGCACCCAGAGTGAGCCGCACACCTCGAGTGAGCCCAGGGCTGTGCCCGGGCCCGCGCAGCCTCCCTGCGTGCACGCCTGGCTGGGCCGGCAGTCGCTCTGCCTCCTGCCTCAGGCCGCCTTGCCAGGCTCCAGCTGCAGGAAGAGAGGCTGAGACAGCATAAGCCACTCCATCGAGCTCCCCAGAGAGCTCCGTACAGGAACCTCAGCAGCAAGAAAGAGGCCAACCAAGGGAGGCTCCCTGATGGAGGCGGCAAGCGCCTTGCCGTCCGCCGAGTGGCACGCAGGCCGGCCTAAGATATTTTAGCTCCGGCTGGACTGGCCCTTGTCCCTCTGGGGAATACAAGGGATGCCCCCAGACTTCAGTCTGGTCCTCTCATCCCAGGGCTGACTTCTGCTAAAACCCTCTGGTGCAGGGAGAGCCTCAACCGCTCCTGGTGGGCGCCAGGACCCTCTTTCGCACCCACTCCCAAAGGTGCTGGGAGCACCTGCTGGCCCATCCCTCTGGGACGCGCCCTCCGCTCTCAGGGCCGGGCTATGGCGTCGGAGAAAGGAGACACAGAATGGAGAGTGGGCTGGGGACCTGTCATCCCCATCCTGGTTTGGGGGGGGGCAGCGTATGTTGGCGCGCGTGTGTATATTTTTGCTTTGACATCGAATGTGGGGGCAGGAGATGGGGAGCACAGTGAGAGGCATACAGGGTGTGTGTGTGTGTGTGTGTGTGTGGTGATGGACGCCCTGGTGTCTACCTCTGGGTAGGTGGCCGATCTGCAAAGTCACAGACGCCAAGAACGAGAGTGAGCCTCGGGTGCTCCTCTGGGTTAACCCACAGGGGGGAAACTGAGGCCACACAGCAGGAAATTCCAGAATGCATGTGCCCGTGGGCGTGGTGTGTGCGTGTGTGTGTGTGGAGGTGATGTGGTGAGAGGTGTGAGCATAAAGGCCAAGGTGAAGGAGTCGTGGTTGTCGCCATGGCTTTGGAGGCTGTGAGTTTTCTCTGAGCCGTGCCCCTGGCTGTGAACGTGATGGAAGGGTCGGGGCTGAGGGTGTGTGTCCCTGCGGGCCACCGTCGCACTGGCTGTGCATGGCCGCGTGTGTGACCGGGGTGTGAGGTCTGCTCTCCCCTCTGCAACGGCAGCACCTTCTTCCTGGTCGGGAAGAGCTCTTCCGGGTCAGACATGCCCTGCAGCCGGCTGGGGCTGGCTCCTGTCTCTCTGCAGCGCTAAGGCCAGCTCTTACCTCTCACTGCGTTGTTTCTGTTTTAAATGGAGTTGTATATTTGTTTTCTGTTTTGTTCTTTACAAGTTCCCTGCTAAATTTTAAGTCCCCCACCCCACCCCATTTTTTTTTTGATTTCACAGTTTAAAGCTGGAAAAGAATTAAAAGAAAAATACTATCTGATTTTCTTGCAAGTAAATCCACTTATTATATATTTACATTTATTTATAGTCTGTGGTTTTTTTATTAAAAAAAAATCACCACTTGTTTTTCCTTTTTTTCTTTTGTAAAAAGAAACCTTTTTGCAGTGTCATTGTTGGACCCGCCGGGCCCCTAGGGGGCGTCAGTGAGTCCCAGGACCCCCAAAGGGTCAGTGCGCCCCCTTCCCAGGGGAGGGGGGGCCTATGAGTCCGGGGGTCCACCGTCACCCCAGGGTCGGCAGGCAGCCCTGAGGTGAGGGGTGAGGAGAGAGAGAGTTGCTTTGCAGCCCCGGGAGGGCGGGCGTCCCGCGGCCCCAGGGACAGGAGCTCAGGGCACGGTGGCCCCCAGAGGCTCACCCTGAGGGAGGCCCCCCGCAGCCACCCCCTCTCCTTCCCTTTCCTCAAGGCCTAGAAAGTCATCACAGTGGGTTAAGGACCGTTCAGGACTGGGAACGTGGGGCTGGGCAGGCCCCAAGTGCGCCCCCTGCAGGCACCTGAGGGACAGACAGGAGAGACCAAGGTCGCCTGGAGGCCTGCAGGTGCCCCGTGAGCTTTCCCAGCCTTCCTGGGGCACCCGGCCCGGCGTAGGGTGGGGGGGCTCCAGGGACCTGGCAGTGACCACAGGCCCCCCCCTCCTCCCGGGCCCCGAGGGCCCCTGAGGCTCCGCCCCCACTCTCCCAGGGAGGCGGGGCCGACTGGGGGTTAAAGGGAACAGAATGGAATCTCTCCCGTATTTAAAAAAAAAAAAATAGTAAGAACCAAAAACCCAAGAAAGCAGAGGACCGAAGCCTCACCCCCGGAGGACAGCCTCCGTGCTCTTAGGATGTTATCTTGGCCCTCTTATTGTTTCCTTTAAATTGGTTTTTATTAAATGTTAAAATAAGGTACATGGGAAATCATGCATGTTCTTTTAGATTTATTTTCTAGTTTTAATTTTTTTAATCCCTCTAGCTTTTTAAGTTTGTTTTTCTCGCCTCGTTTCTATTTTTCCACATTTCCTGTTGGTTTGCTTCTTCATTCCTCATATATTTTGTTCTTTTTTTTGTTTGTTTTAATTTACGTGTTGTGTTTTTCTCTTTTTTTTGAGTGTGTGTTTTTTGTTGTTTTTGTTTTGTGTGTGTATGTGTGTATTTTTTTTTTTTTTTTTTGCTTTGGGAAGGTCGCCCCGCCCCCCGCCCCCCAGCCCGCAGGCCACGCCCTCCCGGGGCCGTCACACGGGGGTGGTCCGGCGGTTGGCCGCGTTGGAGTGCAGCGAGTCCTTGTTCTCTTTCTGGATACAGTTGTGGACCTGGAGGAAGCTGTTGTCCCTGTCGGAGTTGTAGGTGGCGGTGGGCGTGGTGGCGGCCTTCAGGGGGTCCCTGCTGAGCGTGTACATGGAAATCTCCGTGGACGGCAGGGTGCTGAAGCCCTTGATGCCCACGGGCGAGGCGTCCCTGGAGTGCGAGGGCTCGGTGGAGCGCGAGCTGGAGCGGCTGCGGCGCTGGTAGCGGTAGCGGTAGCTGGGGATGCGGGTGATGGCCGAGGCCTGGAGGTAGTCCGTGGCGCGGGCCGTGGCCCGCAGCTGTTTGTGCCGGTCGATAAACATATGCACGGCCAGCACCCCGACCATCTCGGCGATGATGAAGGACAGGGCCCCGAAGTAGAAGGACCAGCCGTACGAGTAGCTGTTCTTCTTCGAGTCGCTCTTGGAGGGGTCCCCGGCGTTGGCGGATATGTACACGATGATGCCGATGATGTTGCTCAGCCCTGCGGGGGGGCGTGGAGCCATCAGAGCGCGGCGGGCCTGCGGGGGTCCCCACCCTCCCCGGGACCCGCGGGGTCCCCCACTCTCCAGCGCCCGCTCACTCAGGGCTTCACACGGCAGCCCCGGAGGCTGGGCGGCTGCCTGCGGGCGGCACTGGGTTGGGAAGCCGCAGGCTCACAGCCTTGGGCAAGCTGGCCCCCGCCTGCGTTTTGGGATCTATGAAACGGGGTGCTGGTGACGGGCGTGCTCCTTGGCGCCTGCAGAGGGCGCCATGCTTGGTGTCTTGGGCAGGGCAAGGGCATCCTACCCTCCCCAGGAAGGCGGCTGCGGTGGGGGGTGGGCCGTGCCAACTGAGAGGGACCCGGGCTTTGGGCGGAAGATGGGTGGGTGGCCGGGGGAGGGGCACTTGGCAGAGCTGGGGGCAGGAGTCCCAGGGCCCGCACGCTGCGGCTGCTCCCTGCTCCCCACCCCCACCCGGCTTACCTGCAGAGACGAAGAAGATGCCGGCACTCAGGATGATATTGTGCCGCGTCTTGTAGAACTCGCTGGCCGCCACGCACAGGCCGCCCATGAAGAGCAGGATCACGCTCAGGATCGGGAAGACGCTCGAGGCCCGCACCGCCCCTGCGGGACACGAGGGTGGAGGGGGGAGAAGGTGTGGCCGTGAGCCCAGGGCAAGGCGCGTCCCTTCTTTCTGTCCCCAGCACCTAGGTCAGGGCCAAGGACACAGAGGCCCCCAGTCCGATGAAGAAGTGTGGGGAAATCAGAAAGAGAAGGAAGGAGCCCATCGCGGGAGCAAAAGACGGCAGAGGAGAGATGAGACACTCAGAAGGGGGCACTGACCAGCCAGCGCAGGAGAAGCAAAGTAGCTTTAAGGAAAAGGGAGAAAGAGGGGCCGGCGCTGTGGCGCAGCAGGTTAAAGCCCTGGCCTGCAACGCCGGCATCCCATATGGGTGCCAGTTCTAGTCCCGGCTGCTCCTCTTCCCATCCAGCTCTCTGCTCTGGCCTGGGAAAGCAGTAGAAGATGGCCCAAGTCCTTGGGCCCCTGCACCTGCGTGGGAGATCCAGAAGAATCTCCTGGCTCCTGGCTTCGGATCAGCGCACCTCCAGCCGTTGCGGCCAATTGGGGACTGAACCAGCGGATGGAAGACCTCTCTCTCTCTGCCTCTACCTCTCTCTGTAAATCTGTCTTTCAAATAAAGTAAAATAAATCTTAAAAGAAAGGGAGAAACGGACAGAGGGGGAGGGGCTGGTGTGGGCAGGGGGCCCCAGCGGTTCAGGGACAGCTGCCCAATTGCCTCTGCAGAGCGAGATGTGTTTCATTGCAAATTCAAGCAGGCGCCAGTGGCTCTGGCTCGGGAGCTCGGGCTGGGCAGGAGGCTGGGAGAGGGAGCAGGATTGTGCTGACCTGTTTCAGCTGCAAAGGGACTTCCAAGGAGCGGGGGTGCGATCAGCCAGGGGCCTTTGGGCCAAGCCCAGGGATTGGCTGGGAAGGTGCATCAAGGAGGGACAGGTGCCAGGGGTGGAGCTTCCCCCGTCCCCAGCCCTGCCCCTTCAGTGTGGCCACGAAGGGCCTGTGAGAAGAGCGCTTTTCTGTGGGGAACTTGAGAGCTTTTTCCAAAAGGACTTGGGGAAGGTTTTCCCGGATGTGGGTGCTGTGTGCAGCTCCCCCTCTACAGTGGAGTCCACACTGCTCGGCAACCCTCCTGGACCTGAGGGTCATTCTGGAGGGTTCTGAAGGAGGACAGGGCTGTGGACCCAGGCTGGCAGCACAGGGCAGAACCAGCTGCCCAGTGGAAGCGGGGGCGGGAGCCAAGGGCACAGGCCGTTGGGACAGGCGGCATTCTTAGCGCCCTTCTGCCTTCGGGCAAGGACCTGTGGTCTCCCGCTGCAAGGCATTTTGAAGACAATGCACTGAGCCCCCAGCCCAGATACACCTGCCCACGCTTGCGCAGTGTGTACACACACACACGCACACACACACAGACATGCACAACTAAACACTACCAGGGTTCTCATCTTTGTGAGCACACGGGGCTGGGAGAGCTTGCTGAAGGCTCTGTGTGCGTGCATGCTTATGGGTGCATCTCCGTGCACGCCCGTGTGCGGGCAGGAGGGGGAGGGTGCCGTGTTGCAGCCGAAGGCGGTGTGGAGGGAACAGAGTGGCTTCCGGTGCACAGATGCAGCCTATGGGATGCCCTAAATCACTGCGCCCGGCGGGGGCACAGCAGCAGCCTCTCTGCCCGGCTGAGCCGCTCCACGCTGCAGCCTCCGGTGGGAAGGAGGTGGCAGGGGGCTGTCCCTGGATGATGGCATGCCTAGGGAGGCTGGGCTTTGCAGGGCTCAGGGCCAGGCTGGGAAGGGGGCTGGTTTGAGAGCAGGCAGGGCCCTCTCTGTGGAGGTGTCACAGACTGTGTGGGAGATTTTAGATCACTTAGCACCTGAATTTGAACCTGGCTTTGCCTCTTACTAGCTGTGTAACCCTTGGGCAAACATCTTTACCTCTCTGGGCCTCAGTGTCTCCGTCCTATAAAGTGGAATCATGACGAAAACAGCATCCAGCTCAGGGGAATGTGGTCAGGCCTCGGCACTGCAGGTGCCGGCTGTGGCCAGCACGGTGGCCTCTCCCAGGGGCTTGCTAGAGATGCAGATTCCCAGGCCCCACGCTGGGCCTCCTGAGTGAGAGTCTGGTCTAGTGAGAGTCCCCGTATGCACGTACAAGTTTGAGAGGCGCGGGGATAAGGCTGACGAGGGGTGGGATCCGTATTACATCCCACCATGCAAGGTGCACAGCCAGAGGGGTTCTCGTGGCCCCTCCCCTTCATTCCAGATGCGACTCCCCCACCCTTTGTCCTGACTTCCCATGGGGCCCAAGAGCTCCCACGGGGAGCCCAAGGCGTCTGATTCATTCAGCAAACCACGAATAAGCACCCGGCCCTTCACCACGGCAGCCCTGCCCTCCGGGGCCAAGCCTCGGGCTCGGTGGCCGGCACGGATTCATCCACGGAACTCAGTCCCCAGCCCTAGGCAGCTCTGCCCTTGGCCTCGAGGAGAGGCCAGTCCCCGCAGCAGGCACGGGGCCCTTTCTGTAGAGGGGCAGGCCAGGGGTAGTTTCGGCTTTGCTGGCCCTACCGTCTACAGTCTCCATTGCAATTTCTCAGCTTGGCTGTTGCGACCTGAGTAGCCGTGTGTGAATAAATGGGTATGGCTGTGTTTCAATAAAACTTTATCGACAGAGTCAGTTGGAGGGCCGGGTTTGGCCCCTGGTTGTAGTTGGCCACCTCTGGCTGAGGATATTAGGGAAAAGCTACGTGGTCCAGAGCAGGGAGCTGCTAGGCCCTGGGCCAGTTGTGGACAAGGACAGAGGCAGCCATTGTGCCGGTTCTGGTCCGTGTCTTTAGGGATCTTACGGTCTCACGAGGGAGAGCTCTGTCATCACATGATAGCACAGCCACAGTGAAGTTCTGAGAGAGGAAGGTGCTTGTATGCGCCACACATGTTTTCAACACTGCACACGTGTTGTTAGCTCATTAGTCCTCATTACTACCCTACGAAGCAAATACCTTCATTACACCCATTTTACAGAGTCCAAAACTGAGGCACAGAGAGATTAAGCCATGCATCTAAGGCTGTCTGGCTCCGGGACCCCTGTGCGGAACCAGCGCATGCCTCTGCTTTCAGATTCTACACCTCACTGCCTCTCTCAGCGTCCTCCGAGCTCACGTGGGGGCTAGGCGAGGGGGCTTCTTTGAGAGAGTGGAGCTGATCGCGATGGACAGGAGAAGCCAATTAGGTGGAAGAGGGGCAGGTTGAGAGAGGGCAGCACAGGCCAGGGCTTGTCCAAGATGGAAAGGCTGGGTCGGTTGCAAGGAGCTGGTGGGTGGGGAGCTTGGGGCCACTGTGGGAGATGCGGCAGCTGCAGCTGTGGCTGTGACAAAGAGCTTTTGTCCCAGGGCAATGGGAAAGCTTAAAGGGCGTGGAACAGGGGGGGCTGCGGTGAGCTGATTGTTACAAAGGGGTTGGGGCGGCCACAGGGGCCAGCGAGGAGGCGACTGCAGTTGTCCAGACAGGAGGGACGCTGGGGCTTGGCCCAGGGTGGCATGAGGTGGTGGACAAAGGCGGATGGGTGTGAGAGGTGTCTGGGGGCCCGGTCAAGGCTTGATGGATGGGTACAGGGGACGCTGGGGAGAATTTCCAGGTTCTAGGCTTGTGAGCAGGAACAAAGGGCCCTGTGTGGAGACCAGGAGGGGTGAGAGGGGAGAGGCCACACTGAGTTGGGGGTGCTTGGGGCCATTGCATGTGTGGGGCAATAGGGCACACAGGTGTGCAGGGCAGAGGTGTGGTCTGGGCTGACCCTGATTCACAGGAGAGCATGAAGGGGCTTAAGCCAGGGGTGGGGTGGGGCGCCCCAGGGTTGGGTGACTGGCCTGAGGAGACCCTGGACAAGAGATGGGGTTCCCTTGGCCTCCTTGCCCCTTCCATGAGATGGGGACCAACACCCTGCCCAGTCTCCCCTAAGGAAGAACACGGAGCTCACGCAAGTGCAGAGCGCCGGCGTGCCGTGGTCAGTGTACGGTTTTTGATGCTGGTGATGGAGAGCAGAGTGTCCCGGGTGCCGGGGGAGGGGTTGGGGGGTGGCCCACGCAGGGAACTCTTTGCTAACCCTTGTGTGGGTGCAGCGTGCATTCCTGCCGTGTCTCGTGGGGCGTGGGGTTCTGCATTTATTCTGGGGGTGGTGAAATCTGGGGTTGCAACCAGCACTAAGCCAGCAGGCTTGGGCAGAGCCGCCACCGCTGGCCTGTGGGGGACACGGAGGCTGCGTGCCAGCGGGGAGACACTGCGGAAGCCTGGGGACGTGAGGGACTATGGGTGGCAGGATGCGGTCACGGCGGGTGTAGCCTCACGGACGGCGCTCACTTCCAGAGGGAGCGACTCTCAGAAGCCTGAGCGAGGGCGGCGGCATGGGCTTGCCTGGTCCGGGGCTGTGGGGCTGCCCCAGATGGGGCTCTGAGCCATGGAAAGTCCTTGGCCCTTCTGGGCCTTGGAGAGTGGGGCTGGGCTGTGCGCAGGGCGTGCCACAGGCCAGGACCTCAGGAGCTGGGATGAGGTGTCTCTATGCTAGCTAGCCTCTGAGTGTGGCACGGAGAGGTCCCGCCCCGCCTCAGTGCTGGGAGTGGGTGCTGGGCCCAACACCTGACTCTGACTGTCCGTTCCCCTCCACGCCACGTGGAGATGGCCAGGATGGGAACCGCCAGCTCCTGGACACAGCAGACAAAGCACACGGGCGCCCACTTACGTACGGGCAGAGGATCACGCTCAGAGACACGGACGGGTGGCCACGGGAAGACAGAACACAGCACGGGCTTACGCCCTAGGCCATGAATACAGACACGCCCACATGGGCCACACGTGCTGACACGCCCTGACACACGGTGACATTCACACGCTGCCACCCCCGTCACCACCACCTCTGGCCACTTGCTCCTCAGGCTCTGGGTAAAGAGGGAGGGGACCCTGGGTCTGCCAGAGCACACACATCTGGTGGGCCAGGACGGGCAGTGGCAGGAGGGGTGAGCACCATGCAGGCTGTGTCCCCACGGGACCCAGATGCTGCTGAGGGCACCCCTGGCCTCTGGTTCCAGAGAGGCCGCGGGGAGTGAGTGTGCGTTCACTCTCACTCATTCACTCGCGACTGTCAGACGTTATGGGCGGGCCCCTCCAGCCAGGCCCCCAGGAGGCGCGGGTGATGACTGAGCCACCCAGGGTCAAGCCCTGGATGTGGGTCCAGTGTGCCCTCCTGACATCCTCTCTCCCTCTCTGCCCAGCGTCCTGGGCCCAGCTGTGATGCCAGGCCCCTCACTGGCCACGCCCCCTCCCCTGGGGCCTCTCCTTGGTGGGCTCAGGAAGCCTCAGGTTTGAGACACACCCCCAGGCCAACAACTCACCACCTCCTCCCTCTGCCACATCCCCTGGGCTGCCGCAGGGCCCAGTCCCTGGCTACCTCCTGCTCCCCAGCGCGCGGTTCCGAACCACCCCCTCCGGCCTCCCTGGCCCATGTGGACCCGATTACCACCCCAGTGGCCAGCCTGCCCTTCCCCAGCAGGCCCCATCCACACTTAGCACCAGGTCTGATTTCTCCCTAGGGCGCGGACACAGCTCTCCCGCCATCTCCCCTCCCCCGTGCGGCAGCTGTCCCCCTGTGCACCTGCTGGGCTCTGGCCTGACCTGCATCTCTGCTCCCCCAGCCTGCCCCTTGGCCTGCGCTAAGGCTCTGATTGGTCCACCCTGGGGCCTCTCCCCCACAAGTACTGACCGCACTGCCCAGCATACAGGGCGTCCTTAGCAAGTGTCTCGTGAGGGAGTGGGACTCTTTGAGAGTCCAAGTCTCTGCTCTGGCGCCACCTTGTCTAGGGAACCCTTCTAGAATGATCTTCAGTCTGGGTCAGGGGCAGGCAGTCCCTGTGCGTCACCCCCTCTGCTTCCTTCTATCCCTGGACGACATATCAGGTCCCTAACTCTGTCTCTAGACACCGCCCTCAGGGACAGGGCCTCCTTCTGCAGGCCCCACGGTCTCCCCTGTGGCTGGTGAGCTGAGTAGGTAAGTGGGTTTCACACACAGGAACCAGGAGCTCACTGAGGCTCCGCCCACTGCAGGCACAGCTCCGCCCACTGCAGGCACAGCCCCACCCACCTCACTGGCTCCCAGCCCTCTTCCTCAGGGCGCTGGTGCTGCCTGCTTTGTCCTCCGTGGCACTTGGCCACGATTGGCTGTTGTCACTTCCTTGCAGAGTACTGGGCCCCGATTCCCCGCCAGGCCCTGAGCTGGGTCACGGCCTTGTGCGTGTGCCCAGCGGGAACCAGCAAAATGGCAGCCGAGTGTGCCGAGTGTGCAGGGGAGGCCCCCAGGGCAGCTTCCGACCCAGACAGGGGGCGGGGGCAGGGAGCAGGGCTGGGGCTCCTGGAAAAATGATTCCTGTCTTCCAGTTTCTCTCACCTACCAGGATGGAGTCTCACAGAGTCTTAGCTTCAAAACCCGAGCTCTGGTGTCCAGCCGGGGACCGGCCCATCAGAGGTCACGGTCAGCACACAGCCAAGTGCGGGCGGCGGCTGGCTGTGGAGGACAGTGCCGTCCTGGAGCCGGCGCGCTTGTCGGCATCCCTGTTGGCTGTGGCTGCCTTTGTGCAGTGGTTGGGAAAGAGACTAGAGGATCTCCAGGATCCGGCTCTTTACAGAAAACCTTCACGGATCCCTGGGTTAAGTCGGCTCGAAGCAGACCCTCCGAGTTCGGCATCGCCCAAGTCCAGCTGTTTCTCTGACCCGCCCAGTGTCCTCTCGCCTCTCCTCGGGGCAGGGGACTGCGTCTCCTTCTCCCATCTCAGCTTCCCCAGTGCCGGGCCCAGGGTCTGGCATACGGCAGGTGCCCCACCCATGCTCACTGAGCTGCCAGGCACCTGCAGCCATAGGAGGAGGCTTGGCGAGAGCCCTGGACACGGTGGCAGGTACCGACACTGTAGATGGCCCTTTAGGAATTCCCTTTAAGAGCCTTTAAGGCTTGAGAGACTTCGTAACAGGAAATGACAGGCATGGTGCGATCCTTTTTTCCCTTAAAAAACCCAAATCTATAAATTGCCCCACTACTCCCGGCTCCTCCCTTCCCGGCCTCCTGGTCGACCTCGTTCGCTTTTCCGCGAAGCCAGATTCCAGGCTGATCCGAGAGCCGGGTTTGACGCGAGCGGCAGTGATGGGAAGAGACAGGGGCGATCTGTACAATAAAGTGGCTCTTACATTTTTCATATCAGTGAGCTGAGAGCAACGGGAGCGGGCCCGCCTGCCGTGGGGGAGGGGCAGGAAGGGGGTGCTCGGCGGGGGAGGAGCCGGCCTGAGAGTCTCCGCTCAGGCCCCGGGCCTCAAGGACTCTCAGCCCCTCTCCGGGAAATCCCGTCTCAGGGAGCGGAGCTGTGTTAGTTTTTGCTGATGCTTGAGAAACTTCCCTGGGGCCTACAAAGCCTTCCACTTGATAACGCGTCTCAGGCGGATTTTAGACCACAGCGGTGACACCAGGGTTTAGCTTGGATTTGACTTGTGGGGGAAGAAAGAAAAACTCTTGTTTTTTTTTTTTTTCTTCCTCTCCTCCCAGTGGAAGGTCCAATCCGGCAGTGCCTGATGCATTTGTTCATTCAATGCTTGCTCGGGAAATATTTACCAAGTGCTTATGGTGGTGCCAAGCACCGGACAGGGAATACAATGGCCAACGAGATAGGGAACAGTGCCTGCCGGTCACTCAGACAGACAAAGGACCTCAGAGCATGGCTGAGTGCTGTGCCCTCGGGAACCCATGTAGGAGGCAGGGAGGGCTTCCTGGAGGAGGTGATGTTTTAGTTAAGACCGAGAGGATGGGGGAGAGTTTGCCAGACAAAGGGAGGGAAGGGTGTTTCAGGCAGAGGGAACGGCATGCAAAAAGGTTTGCATTTTGCCAAGGAGGGGAGCTGTGTGTTTTCCTGTCCTTTGCTCTCATGGTGGCCTCCAGGTCGCCCTGGTCCTTGGCTCTCGGAAGGATGGAGGGTCAGGACCCACCCCCAGGGGGAGGGGAAAGCCTGGGGCACACTCACGGAGGAAATACTCGGCCGTGTCCGCTTCGTAGTCTGCGTCCTCGGGGAAGTGGTCGATTTGCTTGCATAGACCTTTGAAGTTCCCTGAAAGACAACGGAGAGGGCGCGTGAGAGAGGGTGCGTGAGACCTGGGCGCTCCGCGTGGGACCTGGGAGCTCAGCGTGGGACCTGGGCGCTCCGCGTGGGACCTGGGAGCTCAGCGTGGGACCTGGGCGCTCAGCGTGGGACCTGCTGGGAGCTCAGCGTGAGACCTGGGCGCTCAGTGTGGGACCTGGACGCTCAGCGTGGGACCTGGATGCTCAGCGTGGGACCTGGGCGTTTGGCGTGGGACCTGGGAGCTCAGTGTGGGACCTGGGCGCTCAGTGTGAGACCTGGGCGCTCAGCGTGAGACCTGGGCGCTCAGCATGGGACCTGGGCGCTCAGCATGGGACCTGGGCGCTCAGCGTGGGACCTGCTGGGAGCTCAGCGTGGGACCTGGGCGCTCAGCGTGGGACCTGGGCGCTCAGCATGGGACCTGGGCGCTCAGCATGGGACCTGGGCGCTCAGCGTGGGACCTGCTGGGAGCTCAGCGTGGGACCTGGGCGCTCAGCGTGGGACCTGGGCGCTCAGCATGGGACCTGGGCGCTCAGCATGGGACCTGGGCGCTCAGCGTGGGACCTGCTGGGAGCTCAGCGTGGGACCTGGGCGCTCAGCGTGGGACCTGGGAGCTCAGCGTGGGACCCGGGCACTCAGCGTGGGACCCGGACGCTCAGCGTGGGACCTGGACGCTCAGCGTGGGACCTGGGCGCTCAGCGTGAGACCCGGGCGCTCAGCGTGGGACCTGGGCGCTCAGCGTGGGACCTGGGCGCTCAGCGTGGGACCTGGACGCTCAGCGTGGGACCTGGGCGCTCAGCGTGGGACCTGGGTGCTCAGCGTGGGACCTCGGCGCTCGGGCGCTCCTGGGCATCTGCCTGCTGGATGAACGCACCCCACCTCCAGCACCGCAGCCAGAGCCTGGGGGCTGCACAGCCCTGCCTCCCACCCCTGCCCTGGTGCAGCTCGGCGGTGGCTGGCTTCGATTCTGGCCCGGAGACCGCCACGCCCACCAGCCTGCTGTGGTGCCCTGCGGTTTGAAGGCGAGAAAGCAGCCAGGGTGTTCCGAAGCAGGCAGACCCAGACCCACGCCAGGAGCCCCTCCCATGCCGGGAGCCCCTCCCACGCCCGTCACAAGAGCCTGCATGGGCACCTGCACCACCCAGCCCTCGACAGCTCTGTGCCGTCCCGGGCACTGGAGCCGGGGTTGGAGCCCTCAGCCAGGTTCTTGAGCGACACGTTGGCTCGTTTTGTTTGCCCACAGGCCTGTGAGAGGGAGTCTATCACAGATGAGAAGGTTGAGGCTCCCAGAGCCTACATGGTCTGAATACGGAGTTGCGATTGGATGGCGTCAGTCCCCCCTGGGACTGCTGAGCAGGCGAGAAGGGGCCCTGTTGAGAGCCCCGGGCACAGCGCCCCAGCAGGTCCTCGCCAATGTTCACTGAGTGAATGCATGAATGATTGGACGCAGCCTTTGTGGACACCAAGGGATGGGCTAGAATTTGCCATCCATTCTCTGGCATAGCCCCAGCCCCAGAGCAGGTGCACATCACACCCACTGAGTGCCTCTGGATGGAAAAGTAATTAAACCTGGGAGCGGGGAGACAGGGGAGGGGTGCAGGTCCCTCCTTGCCCGGGTCCCGCTCAGCCCAGCCAGTTGTCTGTTTCCTCTGCTGAGAGTGGAGATACTGAGAATTCTGCCCGCTAAGTGTCACGGGGGGTAATGGAGCTAACACAGACGGAGTGGGAGAGACCATGCCTGGCGCGCTGGGGAGGTCCTTGGGGGCACAGATGCCAGAGAGACGTGCAGCTACCGACCTGGCTTTCTCCGCCCAGTGGCTGGCACCGTCTCATGGCCACAGGCCTCGATCCATGTTAGCAACCTATTTGCCTGCGCAGGCCTGTGGTCCCACATCTCAGGACGTAGGAGGCAGTTTTAGCGTGCACGGTAGATACTTTGCAGAAATGGTAAGTATTACACTGGCCCTTAGACACACTGTGCATATGAGTGCGGCCCACCACATACAGTTCATGGAAACGCGGAATTCAGTGTCTTTTGGTTCAAAACATTTTGAACTCCACGCGTCTTGTTTCCATAGTATGCCTTTCCTACGAACTCTTTGAAGACCCCGTGCGTCCTCAGGTTCCCTGCGTAACTACACATTTAGGTCTTCCAGCAGCTGCCAGGCTGCTTGTGACAGAGCAGTGGCGGGAGCCCGGGTCCCCACGCACGCTGCAGGTGCCTCTCCACGGCTCCCGTGGGCCAGCCGGGGTCTAGGCAAGGCGACCCTTTGCTGTCACTTCCTGCTTGCCTCAGGCTCCCTCCATCATGATGTCCTACTCGGGTTAGAGCCTCAATGTCTCTCCAGCTCACCGTGTCTCCCCATGGTCGGCAGTGCCCACCCCAGGTTACCGGCCCTGCTCCCCACCTGCCACCTCGCACCCACCGCTCTCCCTCCCTGCGCGGTTACCACGTGGGTGCCCTGAAGATGCAGAGACCCCATCTTCTGTCTCCGGCCTCACCTCCCACCACGTTCCCCCTCACTGTGCATTTCAGCCTTCTCTCCCACTCTGCTCCCTCCCACCTCCTAACATGTTGACTGCGGCCCAAGGGGCCGACCTCTCGCTGCAGGCCAGGCCGGGAGCAGGCGCCGAGGTGCTGAGAGCAGGGAGGAGGAGGGCAGAGGCCCCAGAGACAGCACACTCAGCCACGAGGAAGCGTCTGCAGCTCTGCCCAGTCCTGTGCCCTTGCTCGCCCCCTGCAGGGCTGGGGACGCCTCCGCTGGACCTCGGAGCCTGCAGCCCTGGACCCGTCCTTGGGAACAGGGGAGATGGCGCCCTGTCCCAGCTCCTGCGTTCTCTCTGTCACAATCCCGGAGCCACGTCTGTCCCCAGTCCTTGTCCCTGCACCTAGTACCGTATTTCAATACCTAACAACTGCAAGGCCACACAGCTGGCTGAGTTCAAGATAGCTGGAGTGAGGGGTCAAGGCCAGGAGCAGGAGGGACTGCCCGCCTGGCTGTGGACCCCGTGGGGAGGGCCCCAGAAGCAGCTCTGGAGATGGAGGTAGGTGCCAGGGTGGGGTTCAGGGAATTAGTGACTGAAGACAATATGGGGGAGGCGGGGGCAGGGGTGTGAGTTTCAGAGAGGCGGGAGTTAGGCAGGAGGGAGCACCTGGGAGCTCCAGGTGTGTAGGTGCGGGGTGTCCTGGGAGAGCCGGGCTCCCACCAGCATGAGGGACGCGGCTGTGAAGAGAACGTGGGCGACTCTGCTGATGTTGGGACACAAATTCCACAGGGCCCAGGGCAAGGGTCTGGGGTCAGACTGTGGGCCTGAGAGGCAGGTCAGGGTGAGCACGGTCCCAGGGGCGTCCCTGGAGGCTGGGCGGGCAGGGCCCTGGGTTCAGTCTGACGGAGGGTGGGTGGTGCTGGGGCTCCAGCAGGCGAGTGTGGTGAGTCAGTGGTGCCCAGGTCACTCCTGGTGGGCTGTAAGTTGTGTAGGCCATTCGTGACAGGTGGCGTGGAGCGCTGTGGTCTTGTCTCCCTGATGCCAGCCTGAAGCCCCCCTCCCATACTTTCTGGCTGGCACTGGAGCCCAGGGGTTGTGACGGCTTCAGGCACAGATGGCTCCGGTATCTGTCTCCACCTCCGCCTCTCCTCTCAGCCAGTGTCTTTCTCAGGGAGGCTCTCTCCCCAGGGGGAGGGGGATGGAAGTGAACCTCAGCTGCCCTCTGCTCCCCAGGGGCTCCTGATCTGGGGACAAAGACAGAAAGTGTGGAAGGGACAGAGGGCAGGGCTCACTTGCGGTATGAGACGGGGCTTCAGCACGTCTGCAGGAGAGGGAATTAGAAGATAAGCTTAATCTGGTGCGAGAAGTAACACAGGGGGCTTCTCCAAAAGCTGAGCCCTGGCTGCACGTCGGAGCTCCTAGCTTTGGTTCCCAGCGCTGGCTCCCGATGGCGGCTGCTTGCCCGTGTGCACCCGGGGAAGCAGCGGGTGATGGCGTGAGCACTCGGGTCTCTGTCACCCACATGGCACACTTGGATAGAGTTCCAGGCTCCCGGCTTTGGCTCCGGCCCAGCCCCAGCTTGTGGCAGGCATCTGGGGATGGGAGCTCTCATAGTTTCTCTGTCTCTTCAAATAAATAAATAAAAGATTTTAAAATTTTCATGAAAAATGTGTATCATGAAAATACAATGCATGGATCTCAAAATTTTTTGTGCCAGAATGAACCTATATTTTTATTCCATTTCCCCTGCAAACTTTTGGAAGTATCCCCATCTTAGAAGGAGATACAGGCCTTCTGGGAGCACAGGTGTCTGCTGATTTATGTAACTCTGTGCACCTGCTGAGGACACAGGGAGAAATATTGTACCTGCCATTTGCGGTGGGAGACAGAAAACGGATGCAGGGGCATGGCAGGTGTGTGCTGGGACAGGGGAGAGCATGCAGGAGGGGGTGTCCCAGGCGTGTGAGGGTGTGGGCACAGATGCAGGGGGAGGAGCCAGCTGGGTGAAGCGGGTAGGAGTGTGTACGCCTGCGCGCTGAGGCAGGAGGACATCGTGGTGGCGGGTGAGAAGGGCTTTCTGGGAAGAGACCAGCAGTAGCCGTCAGGGATGTGCCGGACACACAGAGGGTCAGAGAGGGGCTCCCAGGGCAGAGTTGGGGGTTGGGGGGCAGGACAAGGCTCCAGAGGCAGCATGAAGGAGGCACGGGTCCGACAGAGCTGGTTTGCACCTGCCCAGAGGTGTAGCACCTCTTCCTAACCCACATTAGTAGCTTGAAATCAGCCACCGTGGGAGTGGTTACCCTGAAGGAAGTGACCAGAGCCACAGATAAGACCCTCATTCCTTCCCCAGAGAGCCAGCTGTTAACCATTAGCAGCACACCCCTGCACGGAGGGCAAGCCTGGGGATCTGTGTCCCAGCCGACCAATGGGAGTGGAGATTTGCCAAAAGGTGGGTCCCATTTAGAGGGCTGGGTGGGTGACGATGAGGGCAGGCGCTAGACCCT